AAAAATTAAAATATCTTGATATTAGAAAGGTTAAGATATCAAATTATAATTATTAATTGTGTAAGGCATACTATAAGTCATAATTTATTAAATTCATTATATACCTATTATTAGATGTCCTAATATTTTTAATAACAAAACATCATTTTCATTTTCTTTTCTCAATTTATATTAATAAGTAATTTTTTTAGAAGCTTTCTCTCAACATTTTTAACGTGGGATTAACTTAGATACAATTTTTTCCAAACTTTCTTAATATTACAGTAAAATTTTTTTATCTAATATAAAAGAATCAACAATAAAATAAAATTTGAACAAAAACTTATTGATTTCATACAATACTTTTTAAATTATTTTTCCCAATAAAATTAGCCTCTAAACATGCAAGCCCTCATATTAGACAACTAAAATAATTACATATTTACATTTGGTGGACTCTCTAATACCCCATTTATCCCATAATAATAATAATTATTTTATTTTTTTTTCAAATAAAAATTTTAAGATAATTTATTTATTTACATATATTATCCTTTAAAAAGAAATAAAAAATAAATAGAGAGTTTTTATAATAAAATGAATAATTAAAGTAAATAAATAATAATATGATTAAAGTACATTAAAATTATTTGTTTACTGTAAAAATTAAAAAATGACAATTAATTTAGAATAAATTTAAAATAAAGAAATTAAAAGCTATTTTAAAATAGAGAAAATAACTTGTTTGGTTTTAAAAGAAAGGAAGTAAAATAAAAAAATTCTTTTTTCAAATAACTGAAAACTTAGAAGGGAGAAGAAGGATTTTCCTTTGCTTTATTTATTTATTTTTTTTCGAATTCTAATCTAACCAAAACAAAAAGAGGGGGAGAGAGAGAGAGAGAAAAGGAAACAATTTTTTCTTTATTATTTTTCTTCTCTCTCCCTCCGTTTCACTCAAATTAAATAAGAATAAGAATGGGAACATTTTTTCTTTATTATATTCCATCACCCACATTTCCTTCTAATTGAAAAGATACGTTGTGATTTTGCATTTCGACATGGTATGAACGGTAAACGTAGTCTCTTTCTTTTGGTGGAAAAATAGTTTTCAAAAGAGAAAATTGACGGGCAAGTAACCACAGAAGTCTCCTGATTTTTATTCTTTGAACTAATCTAGGGGATGACGGCCAAGAAAAACAATTAATCTAGGCGATAATTTTCCATACATAATTATGATATTGACCTAGGTGTGATTATGATTATTTATGATTTTATTAAATTTTTTTAAAATTTTATGTAATTTAATTAATATTTTATTTATTTTTAAATATTTTTTAAATAATTGATTATAATTGTTTACATCATAAATTTTAAAAATTTAAAATCATGCCATGTATCAAATATTTTTAAATAGATGAAAGTGATTTAGTCATATCAGATATGTAATTTTAGGTTCCATGATAGATCATGTGTCACATAGAAAAGTAAGAGTTAAAAAAATAAGATTTTATCTTTTGGGTCCTTATTTGAGTAACATTGGATTTGTTTTAACTGATTTTTAGGAGTCAATTTTAGTTATAGATATGAGT